CCCCAAAACCCCAAAACCCCAAAACCCCAAAACCCCATTAAGAAATTTTTAATTGAGAGGTAGCATAATCTTATTTTAAATAATTAAAGTATATTTAACTTGTTGGTTTGTAGTATGCTTAAAAGAAACGGTTGATTTATATATGGATTGTTGGTATAATGTACTCAGATGAGAACAATATCATCCCCTTACTTAGTATTTCCAGTCTTATATTCAACTGATGATATTTCAGACTTCAGATCACTGTGAGATGACTGACCCTTTTAATGAAAAGTTAACTTAGGTTATTACTTATGGTACTATATTTGACTGCTTGAATTGAGATTCGCAGTTGTACCCATTGTCATATCCAGAGTCTTCTAGAAAGCATTGATAGGTTGAGTTGATGTCACTGAGTTAAAGTCTTATAAAGTTACATCTTATACATTAGTTGACCTTTAAGTGTTCTAGGAGTGGTTTACTCTTTCGAAGTCATTAAACAAATTCTTCTTTTTCTTGCATCCATCCTTTCTAATTACCCATTTAGTGGTTCCATCTTTCTAAATTTATCTTATCATAAGGAATTTAAAGAAGATTATAGCCCCCAAGAATATCAAAAAGAGAGATGTAAGAGGTACACCTACAACTAGGAAGAAATACAGTTATCTATTTGTATCATAAAGACTTGATGACGACGATGAGGAACTCATTGTATCATCAGTGGTTTATATCTCTTCAATACTTGATAATCCCCCCGAAAGAAATAATGTAAATATTTGGTTGCCATCCTTCAAATTTGTGTTCCTAAGCAAATCCACTCCGTAATAGTCTTTGTGTGCTGAATTAAGTTTTGTATAGAAAGTGATTAATTCATCAATAAGTTATTGTGTTTCATTTTATTGCTGCTAGGTGTCATTACTATTGGAGGTTGAATTAGTAGAATTTGCTGAGTCAGTGTTATTATTAGAAGATGACGTTTAATTATCCGAGCTGCTATCTTGTAAGTATCTTTTGTTCTTCCCATTATTCTCCTTATCATTTTCAGATTTGCCATTATTTCCATTAGAAGTTTCATTTTTATCCTTATCTTTATCCTTACCATTTCCATTAGAGTTATCATCACCATTAGAGGAGTTATTAGTCTTGTTCTTCTTATCATTATCATCTTGATTATTATTATTACCCTCTGTTTTGTTATCTTTATTATCTGTTTCATTCTTATCATTTTGACCATTGTTAGATGAGTTATTGCTATTGCCGTTATTGTTTTGATTTTTAGTCTTATTTTTTTCTTTTTCCTCCTTAATTCTGATTTCTTCTTTTATCTGATCTCTCTTCTTCTATTTCTTTTCGACAAAGTCAGTATAGTTGTTATCACTTAAAAACTTTTCATAGAATTCTTTCTTTGATAGTTTTTTAGGTGGTTTATTGGTACTTTAGGATTAATTATTTGAGGAGTTACCGCCGTTAGTATCATTATTGTAACTCTCACTGCTATTTCCATTGCCAGTTCCATTTTCTGTTGAGTTATCACTTGTACTATCTCCGTTTTGAGTTGTTATCACTATTCCCGTACTGTTTGATGCATTAGATCCTTTCTCGTCATTATCAAGTTATCTTTATAAGAATTTATGTTCAAGTGAATAAGCTTAGGACTATTAGAGAAAGATAGTGAATACTGTAACTGCAGAGATTAATATTAAAGTGATTTTTAACATTCTAAAAATTTATTATATAATACCAATATTGACATCAATTTATTCGAAAACTAATCAATAGGGGTTTTGGGGTTTTGGGGTTTTGGGGTTATGGGGTTTTGGGGTTTTGGGG